TAATTTTGGAGTTAATTCTATTTTTAGAACAGAAATGTCATTTAGTTGTCAATATTAATTAAAAAAAAAGTATCTTAATGATTATAATTAATATATTAATAAGTTCGCATTTTAAGATAAAATGTTATTTATGAAATAAATTAAAATATTTTAATTAGGTTATGTAAATTTCGAAAAAAGCGGCAAATTTAAAATGCTTTGATTTGATTCGTCGATTAAATCCCCCAGAAAATTGGACCAATCATGTGCGAGATATTCAAATTTGGCGCCATTTTCCCTAAAATATTTACGCGTTGACAAGATTTAATTTTATCGTTTAAATTTCGAATTAATCTTATTTAAATCATTAATTATGCAACAAAAAATTAATTTTTATTCGTTAATTAACATGATTGAGGTGAGTGCCCTAATTAATTCGATTTAAATTTGAGGTTGTCATAATTTATAATTTTTTTAGGTTATGTTGTGTTTGTTTACTTATTTAATGAGTTAATTAATTAATTTTTTTTTAGGTAGAAGATGTAGATCTCAAAATAGACGTCGAAACGCACGAAGAAATCGCTTCAAAAAGCAACTTAAAAGTCCTCGTTGAAAAAACGGATTTAGCCAAACTCTTTTTACAAAACGATCGAGTTGATGAACCGGAAGAATTGGAACAAAAGGAGCCCCCCGAACAAGACGTAAAAGAGGAGTTATCCCCCCCAATTCTTGAAAAGATGGTTACCACCCCCGTTGGAGACGATCAAAAGCGACGAATTGTTAAACGCAAAAATAAATGGGCTTCTGGAATTATCCAAAAACGGGCTCGAAAACGTTTATATAAACCGGGTGAAATCAAAGACGCCGAAGAAGAAGACGAAGATGAGGAAGAAGAAGGCGATGATGAAATCACCGAAGTCACGGAGCACGACAAAAAATACTTTTTCTTAAACGCCTCGAAAATCGGATGCAAATTATGTCCATTTAAAGGGAAATTAATAGTTCAACATTATCGAACGGCTCACCCAGAAAGTGAAGTTTTAATATCTCGCGTCGATCAAGGTGTAGCTGAGACACTCATCGACGATTCGATTCAAAATCGGGAAAAATACGACTCTTATAAACCAAGCAATAAGAAAATTAAGTTCACATTTAAGTGCCCATTTTGTTTCGTTATCGTAAAAGACACATCAAATTGGTTCTACAACCACTTAACAAGCCACACAGGAGAGTATCGTTACGGATGTTATCATTGCCCTTACAGAACATTTAACGCCCCAAATGTGCGCACGCACATTTGCCAATTACACCCAAAAGTACACCGAAGTAACTTTAAAATTTTCTACCCCGAACCGGATTTTGGAAAATTCGTTTATGGCCATTTATGTTCCGAATGCAATTTCGTCCAAATGATTCGAGGAACAGTTGAGGAACACGCCATGGTTTATCATCCAGGAACTCCAGAGATACACCGCGTTAATATGTCGTGTTTAACAGAAGATCAAAAACAATTCGACGAAGAAAATGTGATTAAAAAGGAGGCTAAATCTAAAAAAAATATTAAAATCGTCAAGATATATCCATCATCAAGCGCTAATTTGGACGATTGCATAAACGCCGTTGCGGCCGGAGCTGGGGAAATAAAAAATAATCGAATAATCGAATCTGAAATTCCAATCCAAGCTGAAGTTAAGGAATTATCGATTTCTGAGTTGTTATCTAAAATGGATGAGGATGAAATCGACGTTGAGGATAAAGAGGAAATTAAAAAGCCGATTGAATTGGCCGCTTTTATGTGCGATGCTGATTTGGATATTGAAGCTGGGGTTGGGGATGAAAAGAGGGAGACGATGAAGTGGATTAACGAGAATACGAGGAAAACGAGGACTTCAATTGCGGATAAGTTGCAAATTAAATTGGTTGGGGAGGAAGGGAATAAAATTAATGAAGAAATCGCCGATAATGAGGATGAAATGTTGATGGACTTTGAGTGTACTAATCGGGAATGCTTTGATGATGAGGTAAGTCAAAATAAAATTAAAAATCTTAGATTTATTTCGCATAAATTCAATTTTGACATATTTGTCAACTACATAAAAAGTCCTTTAAAATGAGTCCAAACTCGACGTATTTAACTTTNATGGACTTTGAGTGTACTAATCGGGAATGCTTTGATGATGAGGTAAGTCAAAATAAAATTAAAAATCTTAGATTTATTTCGCATAAATTCAATTTTGACATATTTGTCAACTACATAAAAAATCCTGTAAAATGAGTCCAAACTCGACATATTTAACTTTAATATTAATGGAGATACAATCACTTCCGGTTTGAAACGTCAATTTTGACATATTTGTCAATTTATTAAAAAACCTTTAAAATGAGTCCAAACATGATGCATTTATCTCAAAAAACAAAAAAGTTAGAATAAAAAACGTTAAATCTTAAGTTGGCAACAATGAAAATACCAAGTTAAGTTTTAAATATTAATACCAACCTTAATTTTTGATTTTTTTTTTATTATATTTGTAGTTTTGTGATAAATTTTAAGACATTTTATAAAAATTAAGAATATGTCAAAATGACATTGACATTTCAAACCGGAAGTTGCTTATATCTCGAGTAATATTGGAATTAAACGTATCATGTTTGGACTCATTTTAAAGGATTTTTCACGACGATTACAAATATGTCAAAATTGACGTTGACATTCTTAACCGGAAGTTGACCATAACTTCATTAATATTGAAGATAAATATGTCGTGTTTGTACTCATTTTAAAGGATTTTTAATGAAGATTACAAATATGTCAAAATTGAGGTTGACATTTTAAACCTGAAGTTAGTTATCATGTAATAGAAGTTTTACAACTGAAGTTAATCTAGTGTTAGTCACTTTTCATATTTGTCAACTTCATAAAACATCCTTTAAAATGAGTCCAAACTCGACATATTTAACTTTAATATTAATGGAAATACAATCACTTCCGGTTTGAAACGTCAATTTTGACATATTTGTCATCTTCATTAAAATACCTTTAAAATGAGTCCAAACATGATGCATTTATCTCAAGAAACAAAAAAGTTAGAATAAAAAACGTTAAATCCTAAGTTGGCAACAATGAAAATACCAATTTAATCTTTAAATATTAATACCAACCTTAATTTTTGATATTTTTGTTACATTTGTAGTTTTGTGATAAATTTTAAGACATTTTATAAAAATTAAGAATATGTCAAAATGACATTGACATTTCAAACAGGAAGTTGCTTATATGTCGAGTAATATTGGAATTAAGCGTATCATGTTTGGGCTCATTTTAAAGGATTTTTCACGACGATTACAAATATGTCAAAATTGACGTTGACATTT